GTCCGCGCGTGGGGGGCGTCGGAGTAATAACAAGAACCCCAATCCTTAGGATATGAGGAAACATTGTCACTGCGATGATGTTGTGCACGATTGTTATAACAATGCCCCAAAACACACGGAATTTCAATGCATTCTCATACGCACCTCTCCGAGGGAGTAGATCTCAGAGGGGATTAATGCGTCCGTCTTTGAGCAATCTGGCCGTTTCGCTAGGGACATCCTCGAATTTCTGAAAATCGGTGGCAACCATCTGCGTGTCTGCGGCCGCCCCCGCGCGCCGTCGGCGTCGACCGCGGCCGCGCGCGAGCCAAACGGCTTCGTGGCCGCTGCAGGGTTCCGCCGCGTTGCCGACGACGGCGACGACGGCGGGGCCGTCGTCGTCGTCGTCCTCGTCGTCGCCGTCGTCGTCGACCTGGTCGTCGTCGTCGCCATCGGGATGCTTTGCGTGGCTTTCGGTTGGCCGGGGGCCGACGCGCCGCGCAAGTCTAGCCACGGATCTCGGGCCCAGGAGGAGGGGCAGGGAGGAAGGGAAGGGGCGAGGGAAAGGAAGGAGAAGAAAGGGAAGGAGGGGGGGGGGAGGGGGAAGGGGGGGGGGAAGGAAGAGGGAACGGAGTTGTTTTCCTCTTCCCCCTCGCTCTTCCGTATCCCTCCTTCCTCTCACTCCTCCTCCCTCTTCCTCCTCCCTCCCCCTCCCCCCCTCCTCCCCGCAGCTGTTCAGCGTTCAGATCCCGACGTCATAGTCCGAACGCCTTCACAGGGATGTCTGGCCCTTCTGGGTCGGTCTCGTACCTGCTCTTGCTTGCATCCTGCAGCTTATTTTGTATGGGCCTGGGCACGCACGTGCCACTTGTATATATATATATAAATAAATACATATACATATATATATATATATATATATATGTGTGTGTATCTGTATATACATATATATATATATATGTTGATGTACTGATATGTATGTATATATATATACGGTTACAGCGCCCACTGAGATCCACCTCTCCAACTTAATTGACTTTCTTTTATGCGCACTCATAAAAGACAAACAAATCCATTTAATCAATTTATCTACTCGCACTATAACAAAATTAGACAAATGCAAGTACTGAAATGTTATCTTGATAACTTAAGTAGCGGAGCTGGGGTCCACGGACCTTTCCCCACAGGGCTGGTGAAATCCTTTTCCACCTCAGCATGAACTGAGCCAAAACTGGCTCTCCACAGTACACAAATGTCACAACAGCGCATGCGCAACAATCCTCACTCAAATCACTGATATATACCTTGTTTCCTGCACTCCTCCTCGGGCCCATCTGCAGCTTCATGCCAAGATCGGGCACGCAATATGGAAACATATCAATATCGAGTCATAGCCAGCGAGTGAGGGTGCCAAATCCCGACAAACCCATCAACACTGTAGATCTTGTCCTGCCTTATCTCGTTGAGGGCGGTCGCCACGCATGCTTCGACCGCCATCGCCTTTGTATATGTCGAGACGGCCCGATCCACTCGCCGTAGTCGTAGAACCCCCGTCCACTGTCTATAGTCATAGCTCTGAACATAGCCCGAAGATCATTGACCACGATCTTGCTCGTAGCTCCATTCTTCATCGTGTCCTTCAGGCTGCACTGAGTTGAGGCATCTTTCTGTGCTGGCTGCGTGATACGGTCGATGTGCTGCTTGACTTTGAAGACTGCACTCGTTGCGATAACACTCAAAAGGGCGAGCATCATCATCACGACCGTTGTGGAAACGCCAAAATGGCTCTCATCATCTGCAGGGCTTGAGATCGCGACTGGCTGAAACTCCTTCTCCACCAACTCAGTAGCGTCCGCGCGTCCAAATTGAAGAAACGTGCCAAGACCCACCAAGCATTGAGTAAGTGCCCCCATCAGCTCCAGCGCAGGCTTACCGATCTGGGCCTTCTTCTCGTTGCTTGATCCCGAAATTCCACCAACTTCACCTTTCCCAGTGAGCCAAACCTTCATCGCCGTTAGGTGCTTCATGAAATCGACCCAAGAAAGATGTTTCGTCCCAAGATCTGCGGTGTTCTCGTCGGTGTGAACTTTGCTCGTGCTGACCTTCGTCTCAGCCTTGCGCGCGACTAGGTCCTTGATCCACAGATCCTTCAACTCGATGTGCCTCATCCTGCCAACTCCCTTTTTTCTCGACGTTCGTGAGAGCGCTGGAGTTGTCACTCCCCAGCGTCACTGGTACAGTTTCGTCCAAGAGCTCCTTGAGATAAGTCTGTGCTCCTCTCGCCTCAATCCCGACATGCACGAGTGCGTTAAATTCAGCTTCGGGCGACGAGAGTGCTGGTGCCCCCTGAGTCTTGACGAACTGCATGATCAAAGCTCCATTGAGAAACAACTGGCCACAACTCGTAGACTTCCTCCCGATAGGATCCTCTGCCCAATTAGAGTCTGCACGTCCGATAACCTTGAACTCGCCGCTGTCTGGATACATGCACGTGACTGAAGATGGGTGAGCTCGAATGAACCTGATGATGCGCGTGAGCCTCGCCTGGTCCTGCACCGTCGGTCGTGGCATCCCCCTCGAACACTCCTTCGCTGCGTACTGACACTCGGGCCTCTCCAAGCACGCGAACATGTTGAGGCCGCTGACGCTCCTGAACTTTGTGGCCGCTTTGGAATCCAACTCCTCCTCGCTCTCGACCTTCTTCTCGTTCTTGACTCCTGGTATTGGGCTCGTCTTCTTATCATTGGGCTCAGAGTCGAGTAGCTTCTTGACATTAGCAGGCCACATGCGAACTTGAATGCCTTCGGGGGTGCGGAGCCAGCCACGTCCAAGGTGCTTGATCTCAGGACCACCAACTGTGAGCTCAGAAACCTTGAATAGAAAATGTGTGCCAAGCTCCTCCAACGCTTTGCTGGCTGAAACTCTGGGTCCCACCAGCGTGCCATCGTCAACATGCTTGGACATAACAACTTGATTAGCCTTGTCTGCAAACGTACACGGGTCAGACAGAAACCTCTTGAAAATCATCTTAGATTCATCACTCCGTCCTGTAGCGATGTTCTCAAAGTGGTCGTCGAAATCGATCATCGCCTCGTTAAGTCCGTAGACGGTCTTATTGAGCTTGAAAACCCAATCCGAACTATCGAGAAGATGGCAGTATTCCTTCGGAACCTCTGCGTACACCAACCCCCGAATCGGCGTGTACAGAAACGCTCGAGATATGTCGAAAAAGAAGATGGCGAAATCCTGAACGATAGCGTAGACCATGAGCAGCTTGAGTGAGAACGAAAGTGGAGTAGGGCAGTGCAGCTCGTTCTTGCTCTTGTTGACCTGCTTGCCGAATGGTCGCGCACAAAGCCTCGCCTTGAGCTCACCACTCCTCATCTCCAAAACCCAAGTCCACGTAAGTGCCTTAGGCCCGTGAGGGTCCCTCAGCGTGAGCTCCCACACGTCGTAGTTGTCGAACCGATCTAGCTCGCACTGCTTCGCCTCCCACTCGTCGTCCTCGGTCCAGCCCATCACGATGCTGAACTCGCTGTCGTCCTTCAGCTCCTTGTCGACCTCGCCCACGAGCCTAATCATCTCCTCCGTGCTGAAGCCCGCCACGAGCCTCTTGAGGTCGCCAGTACTCAAGCTCTCGATGGCCCCCACCAGGCCTCGATTTCCAGGTGGGCCTCCAGGGCCGCCTTCACCGAGGTCAGCGTCAGCAGCTCCTCGCTTAGCGGGTGCCCCTGGAGCTGGTACTCCCTGCTTGCCACGAAGCCTCTTCTCGATCTTCTGCACCTCCCGACGAACTGCTTCAACTGGATCTTGACCTTGTGCTGGCTCCGGCCCTGCTGGTCGCTGTGCTTGCTGCTCGCCGTTGTTAGCCTCCGAGCTGGCCGCAGGTACGGGAACCACGACCACCTTCGGCTGCTCGCCGTCCTTGCTGGCGATTGACTTCTCGTACTCGGCCCGGCGCTGCTGGCATGTCCTGCTGTGGTGTGGTGGCCGTCCTCGTCCGTGCTGACCTTTAGCTGCATACTCACACCCAAGGCATCCCTCCGTCGGCTGCCAATTCTCGCCCTCGTAGACTCCAGCTCTAACCGAGGTCCTCCAAGGCGTCCAACGCATGGCTTCGAGCATCTCCATGTCGAAGCTCTCCTCCGTCGTCAGCTGCTTCACTGTCATGGCCTGAACTACCCCCGTCGCCGTGCCGATAAGATGAGCATCGCTCTTCGAACTGCGTCCGAGCCACAGTCCCATGCACCAGGCTGTGCCCTGCTTGTCCTGCGGCTCCGTGTGCTCCTTGCCGATCACTGTCTCTCCGAACTCCAGCATGGGTGAAGTGTACGGTGCCAACCTGAGCTCCTCGAAAGATGTGCGACCGCTGCTCCTCCTCCGTTGGTACCTGTTGTGGCAGAATATCTGATGCCGAATCATCCAAGGTATGATAGGAACATCCTCAGTGAACTTCATGTTGTAACGCTTCTCCAGAGCCGAACGCCCAGTCCTCGCAATACCTGCAACCGACTTGACTCCACTCTCAACTCCACCTTGAGAAGCGTGGCCTCCTTTTGGAACTAGCCGTACTCGAAGTTGAGCTTCAGCTGCCTCTTTGCCGAGCTTCTTGATACGCCCCGAAATCACTCCATTCATGAGTGCCTCCAGTGCTGGTTCTCCGTCTAACTGAACTTCCATACTCATGTAGCCGAGCTCGTCCAGGTACTCGCTGATGGCCGCTATAGCGTAGCTCTGATTGCCTTTAGCTTCCACGACAACTCCCATGAGGTAGCCTGTCCTTCTGTCCTTGCCGACTGCCAGGGTAAGACGCCGACCTGATCCATCTTCACCAAGACTGAGAAACCCATAGTCGAATGCTATAACTGGAGTAGCCGATGCGTTTGGATCTCTCGCGCGATGAGGGTCTTCTTGCCCTCGCCCCATCATGCACTCCTGACACCAAGCTTCGAAAGGAATGTGACCTCCCCGAATGTGCGCTCTGACATGTTCTCCTGGCATCCGAGCTGGTCTCTTGAGCCCAGGTGCGACGGGCGTCTCCGTCTGATCTGGAACTCCTTCTGCGACACCACGTGGGCCATCACGTGAACTAGCCGCTCCACTGTCAGCCTGCGCCTCCACAGGCTGTGTCTCGACAGGCTCCTCCTTCATCTGCACGTCGTCCTTCTCAGAGTTGTCCTCGACATCGCCGATGATGGACTCGTAGCCTGTCGGACCCTTGAACTTCATGGGAAGAAGAAACGCATTCACCTTCCGTCGTAACCGCAAAGTCACTGTCGACTCGATCGCTTTATCTATCTCGTGCTGCACATTCTTGTTGCTTTTGAACATCTTGGCTCCGTCAGGATCAAAGTGTACCGAATAACCTGCATCATTCATCTCTGCAACTGAAAGGGCACCTCTACGAACTTCAGCTGGCGTGACGTCTAGCTTTGCAGGGATCGACGTGTTCGAATCGAAGACCTCACCCGTCAACGTCCGCTTATCCCAAGTCCGAATACCCTTACCAGTAATGGATCGCAGAGACTGACCTGGCTCGCCCGTGAGCTTGCACTTCTCCGTCATAGCCTTTGGTACGACATGAGTGTGAGCTCCACTATCTACGAGCATCTCGCATTCGTCCCCGTCAGTGTCGTCCGTAAACGCAAAAATCCAACCCCCTTCGTCATATGGTAGCACTGCTGCCTGTACGCGCCCAGTTCCACGTACTTGTGTCTGTGACGCTGAATCTCCTGGATGGACCGTACTTGCTGAGCCCGATCCTGGAGCTAATTGAGGTCCTGGCTGAACCTCAGAAACGGATCGCCGACCTCCTCCAGGCTGGTAAGCGCCGCCGCCGTACTTCCTGCAGTCCGCGATCTTGCGCCCGCACTTGCCGCAGCGGGAATTCGAACACCATCCGTCGAAGAGCTTCGTCTCGCCATTCTTGCTCTTCATCTTGTTCTTGCCGTCGCCCTTGCCACCTTTGCCGCCCGAACTCTGCCGGGCACTTCTTTGACTGCTCGACTTGCCACCGCTGCCCTTCTGGTCCGACTTGCCGCCGAAGCCCTTGCCCTTGGAATCGCCCTTGCCGCCCTTGTCGAAAGCGTCCACGCCCATGGCGTTCGGGTCGAACTTCTTCTTGGTCACCCTCGGGTCGCGCTGCATCATCTGCTGAGCGAAGGCCTCGCAAGTCCCCCGTGGGATCTGGTGGGTCGCGAAGGTCTGCATCATCACCTGAGTCTTCAGCGGCTCGGGCGTGTTCTTCTTGATCAAGGCTTGGACAAGGGTGTCTGAGATCACCTCTGAGAACTTCTCTTGATATCGGTTGGTGTCCAGTAGAAACTTCGTGAGCTCCTCGACGTAGGTCTCCCACTTGCCTGAAAACTCTGCGTTCACAAGAAGCTGCAGCTACGTCACCTTGTTGGGGCCAGTAGCCGCATCCTCGCGTAGACAAAGACGTCGCCACTGCTCCAGGCCGTTGCCTGGCTCACAATTCATCACCAAGGTGAGCGCGCTGCCTCCAAGCAACTGTGATCGAATGTATCCCATCGTCGCTGCAAGCTGCTTGTTATCGTCGCCCATCTCTGAAAGCGCAATGACATTGCCGCGGGTAGCTGCTGTCGTGACTGCTTGTGCCAATATCGGGTCGATGGCACCCAAGTAGCAGATCAGCTGGCATCTGAAGGTCGGGAATTCGTCGCTGTTGCCTGAGTACTTGTTCGGTCGCCCCAGCAGGCGCGTGTCCGCAAGACCAGCCATCATGAGAAGAACAGAAACCAATCGCGCTACCATGCAAGTACTGAAATGTTATCTTGATAACTTAAGTAGCGGAGCTGGGGTCCACGGACCTTGCCCGACAGGGCTGGTGAAATCCTTTTCCACCTCAGCATGAACTGGGCCAAACCTGGCTCTCCACAGTGCACAAATGTCACAACAGCGCATGCACAACCATCCTCACTCAAATCACTGATATATACATTGTTTCCTTCAACAAATAAAATAAAATAAATAACTCATTGCTTTTTTTTTTGCATTTGCAACAGGAAACTCACGGTGCAATTAAAAACACAGAAAATCATTTAATTTACTTAATTTATTTGATCTATTCAATTTATATACATTTCCATCTGCCGAGGAGGTGACAGGGGGAATCGGTTACCATGGTCATTAAAAATTAAGTGAATTAAATAAATTAAATAAAGTAAATAAATTAAAAAAATTAAATAAATTAAAAATTTCCGTGCGCTTTTTTTGCATTTGCAATAGGAAACCTACCGTGCAATTGAAAACACAGCGAATCATTTAATTTATTTGATTATTTAATCTATTTAATTTAAATAATTTATTTAGTTTATTTAATTTATTGAATTTATTTGATTTATTTAATTTTAATACACATCCATCTGCCGAGGAGGTGACAGGGGGAAGGGGTTGCCAGGGAATCATTTAATTTATTTAATTTATTTAATTTGTTGTTGTGCCTCCATCTGCCGAGGATGTGACGGGGGGAAGGGATTGCCAGGACCATTAAACATTAAATAAATTAAATAAATGAAATAAATTAAAAAAGCGAAATAATTAAATAATTCCTTGCGTTTTTTGCAATTGCAATAGGAAACCTATTCTATAATGAAAAAACACAGGGAATCATTTAGTTTATTCAATTTATTTAATTAATTTATTTAATTCTAATACACCTTCATCTGCCGAGGAGGTGACAAGAGGGGAGGGGTTACCAGCGCCATTAAACATTAAATAAATTAAGTAAATGAAATAAATTAAATAATTCCTTGCGTTTTTTTGCATTTACAATAGGAAGCCTAGTGTGTAATTAAAAAAACCACAGGGGATCATTTAATTTACTTAATTTGTTTAATTTATTCAATTTATCTAATTGTTGCACGCCTCCATCTGCCGAAGAGGTGACAGGGGGGAGGGGTTACCAGGGCCATTGAAAAATAAATTGAATAAACTTAATGCATTAAATAAATTAAGTAAATTGAATAATTCCTTGCGTTTTTTGCATTTACAATAGGAAGCCTATCCTGTAATTAAAAAACATGATGAATCATTTAATCTATTTAATTTATTTAATTCATTTAATTTTAATACACCTCCATCTGCCGAGGAGGTGACAGGGGGAAGGGGTTGCTGGGGCCATTATAAACTACAGAAATTCAAGAAATTGAATAAATTGAATAACTTAAATAAGTCCTTGCGCTTTTCTTTGCATTTACAATAGGAAACCTATTGTGCAATTAAAAACCACAGGGAAACATTGAATTCATTTAATTATTTAATTTGTTTAATGTGTTTACTTTATTTATTTTTACTGCACCTCCATCTGCCGAAGTGGTGAGATGGGGGATGGATTATGATGGTCGTTAAAAATCAATAAGAAAATGTATTAAACACATTAAATCAATTAAATGAATTAAATGGATTAAATAATTCCTGCATTACAGTGTAATTAAGATAACGCAAGGCATCATTTAATGTATTTACTTCTTTTTTATGTGTTGAAGTTATTCAGTTTATGTGATTTTGACTCTGACATCGGAATATTCCCTCTCCCAGCATCCCCCTCATTCCTGAGGAGGTGAGAAGGGACGTGCCCTCCTCCTCCCCCTTCCCCCCCTTGCTGAGGGGAAGGAAAGAGAAGAACCTTTTCCTCCTCTTTCCTCCTCCTCCCTGAAGGAGGAAAGAAGGGAAGGAACGCCATCTCCTCTCTCCCGATGGAAAAAGGAAGGGAAGGGACCTCCTCCTTCCCGCGGGAAAGGGAAGGGAAGGAACATCCCCCCCCCCCCCCCCCCCCCCCCTTCCTGAAGGAAAGGCATGGAAGGAATCTCATAATCCTCTCCTTCCTCCTGAGGGAAAGGGAAGGGAAGGATTCTCATCGTGTTCCTCCTCCTCCTTTTCGTTCTTGAAGGTAAGGGAAGGCAAAGTGACGCCCGCCTCCCCCCCCCCCCCCCTCCTCCTCCTCATCCTCCTCCTTCCTGAGGGAAAGGGAAAGGAAGGTATCTCCTCCTCCCCGCTCCTCCTGCTATGGAAAGAGAAAGGGGGGGAGCCCCGCCTCTTCCTCCGCCCTGAAGGAAAGGGAAGGGAAGGAACCTCGCCCTCCTCCGCCTGAAGAAAAGTGAAGGAAAGGGGCCTCATCACCCCCCTGCTTCCTGAAGGAACAGGGAAGGGAATGGGCCTTCTCCTCCGCCTCCTCCCCCTTGGGGGCAGGAAGGAAAAGAAAGGGCCCCGCCCCCTTCTCCGTCCTGAGGGAAAGGGAGGGGATGGAACCTCCTCCTCATCCTCCTTCCTGCGGGAAGGAAGGGGTGAATGTATGCCTTCTCCTTCCTGCGGGAAAAGGAAGGGAATGGGCCTCATCCTTCTCCTCCTCATTTTTAAAGACAGGCAGGGGAAGGGGCCTTCTCCTCCTCCGTTCTGACGGACAAGGAAGGGGCGGATCGCCACCCCCCCCTCCTCTTCCTCTGACGGAAAGGGAAGGGAAGGGACCTCCTCCTCCGTCTCCGCCCTGAGGAAAATGGAAGAGAATGGACCTCCTCATCGCCCTCCTTCCCGAGGGCAAGGGAAAGGAAGGGGACCTTCTCCTCTGCCTTCCTGGCGGAAAAGGAAGGGCATGAACCGCGACATCCCCCTGCTTCCTGAAAATAAAAGGAATGAGCCTCATCGTCCGCGTCCTCCTCCTGCTTCTGCAGAGAACGACGCAGGCAGGGGCCTCCCCCCTCTCCGTCCCAAGGGAGAAGGAAGGAGCCCCCCCCCCCCCTCCCCCTCCGCCTCTTCCTTCCTGCGGGGATGGAAGGGGATGAATGTGTCCCTTCTCTTTCCTAAGGGAAAAGGAAGGGAATGAGCCGCCTCCTTTTTCTCCTCCCTTTGAAGGCAAGACAAGGGAAGGAACCTCCTCCTCCGTCCTGAAGGACAAGGAAGGGAAGGAACCTCCTCCCCCTCCGCCTCTTCCTTCTGATGGAAATGGAAGGGAAGGGAGTTCCCCCTCCTCCGTACTTAGGGAAAGGGAAGAGAATGAGCCTCCTTCTCGTCATCCTCCTTCGTGAAGGAAAAGGAATGAAATCTCCCCCTCCTCCTTCCTGGGGGAGCGGGAAAGGAATGAGCCTCCTCCTTCTCCCCCATGGTGAAGCCGTGCTCCTGGTAAGGAGCAGCACCCCCCTTTCTTCTTTCCCCTGTGAAGGAAAGGGGCAGGAAGAACCCCCCTCCTCTTCTGTCCGAAGGAAAGGGAAAGGAACAAGCCTCCTTCTCCCCATCCTCCTCCTCCTTCCTGATGGAAAAGGGAAGGGGGGAAGGGGCCTCCTCCTCCTCCGTGCTGAAGGACAGGGAAGGGGGCGAACCCCACCGCGCTCCCGATTCCCGAGGAAAGGGGAGGGGCTGAACCCCCTTCTCCGCATCCCGTTCCTCCTTTCGGGAACAAAAGAAAAGGAAGGACCCCCCCCCTCCTTCTCCGTCCCAAGAGAGAGAGGGAAGAGAAAGAACCTCCTCCTCCTCCCCCTCATCCTCCTTCCTGCGGGAAGGGAAGGGGGGAATTGCTGCCTTCTCCCTCCTGATGTGCAGGGGCGGGAAGGGCCCCCCGAAAACAAAGGAAGAACAAACTGCCCCCTCCCCCCCCCCCCCCCCCCCCTCCGTCCTCAAGGAAAGGGAAGGGAAGGAACCTCCTCCCCTGCTCCTCATCCTATGAGGGAAAGGGAAGGGAAGGAACCTCTTCCTCCTCCTCCCCCGCACTGAGGGAAAAGGAATCATCCTCCTCCTTCCTCGGGAAAAGGGAAGGGGGACGGAACCTCCTCCTACTCCTCCCCTTCCTCTTTCATGAGGGAACGGGAAAGGATGAACCTCATCCTCTTCCTCCATTGTGAAGCCGTGCCCCTGGCGAGGTGAACGGCAACTTGGGCCCGGCAAAGAAACGCATATATAGGGGAGAGAAGAGAGAGAGAGAGAGAGAGGAGAGAGAGAGAGAGAGAGAGAGAGAGAGAGAGAGAGAGAGAGAGAGGAGAGAGAGAGAGAGAGAGAGAGAAGATGTAGCCATGTGTGTAAGGGAGAAAGGGGTGGGGGAGGGGAGGGAGGGAGAGGGAGGGAGGGAGGGGAGGGAGGGGGAGGGGAGGGAGGGGGAGGAGAGAGAGAGAGAGAGAGAGAGAGGAGAGAGAGAGAGAGAGAGAGAGAGAGAGAGAGAGAGAGAGAGAGAGAGAGAGAGAGAGAGAGAGAGAGAGAGAGAGAGAGAGAGAGAGAGAGAGAGAGAGAGAGAGAGAGAGAGAGAGAGAGAGAGAGAGAGAGAGAGAGAGAGAGAGACGGGGGAAACCTTCGTACATGAGGGCGAACGGAAAAGGAAGTGGGGACAAGGCATAACAGAGGAGAGAAAACGGGGGAGGGGGGAGGGAGATCGGAGGATGAAGAACGCTGAAGAGATAACGGAGGAGGGAGAATGGAGGTGGACGAATGGAGAATGGAGAAAGGGGGGGCCCAGGTTGAATGAGTCAAAGAGGAGCAGCGCAGAATGATGCGAATCATATGCAAGAGAGATCGAGTGAATGATTAGACGGCGCGAAGACGAGGGAAGAAAAAGCGAATCAAGACGAGAAAGGTGGATCACAGAGGGCGCTGTGAGCATATAGACATACCGATGGTTTGGCCAAGCGGGGGCCCAACGATTGGCCACGGAGGCACTTCCCAAGAGGCAGGAAGCGGCGGTGATTCACCGCAGGCGTCTTCGATGTTGTACTCGCAATGCGCAGGCTCACCTGGCCCACCGGCCCACTGATGCGATCGTCGTAGTCGTCCTCGTCCTCGTCCCCGTTGTCGTATTCGTCCTCGTCGTCCACATTATCGCCGCTGCCGCCGCCGCCGCCGCCGCCGCCGCCGTCGTCGTCGTCGTCGTCGTCGTCGTCGTCGTCGTCGTCGACTTTCTGCAGGGGCCTCGGGGGCGCGGTTCATCATTCTCCCTCCTTCTCCTCCTCCTCCGCCTCCTCCATCCCTCTCCCTCTCCCTCTCCCTCCCTCCCCCCCTCCCTCCTCCCTCCTGCTGCCTCCCTCCTCCCTCCCCCCTCCTCCCCCCTCCCTCCTCCCTCCCCCTCCCTCCGCCTCGCCCCTCCTCGCTCCTCCTTCGACGTCGACGCCGACGCAGTTTCGCATCCCAGGTTTAAGGTGAAGGGTCTAGGGCGCTGACCTCTTGGAGGCTCCCGAGGGTGTGAAACCCTGTGAAAACACAGGGGGGCCTCACCCTCCCAGAAGCCTCGGCAAGCCTCGGCAAGCCCATCGCGCGCGTACCTGTACGCATTTCGCGACACCCATGTCGTCGATCCGTGCGCATGTACGCACGCGATGGGTCGGCCGAGAAGGGAGGGTGGGTGAGTTCCCCGCGTTTTACGGTGGACTCGCGCCCTCGGGGAGGCCGCAGTCTGACGGCGCGGCTCCCGAGGGCGCGAGTCCACCGTAAAACACGGGGAGCTCACGCTGCCTGAGGCTGCAGGAAAAGTGCCAAGGTGGGTGAGTTCTCAGTGTTTTACAATGGACTCTCGCCCTCGGGGCGCGGCCGCAGTCTGACGGCACGGCTCCCGAGGGCGCGAGTCCACCGTAAAACACGGAGAACTCACGCTGTCTGAAGCTTCAGGCAGGGTGCCAAGGTGGGTGAGTTCCCCGTGCTTTACGGTGGACTCTCGCCCTCGGGACGCGGTCGCAGTCTGACGGCGCGGCTCCCGAGGGCGCGAGTCCACCGTAAACGCGGCGGACTCTCTCGCCCTCGGGAGGCGGCCGCAATCTGACGGCACGGCTCCCGAGGGCGCGAGTCCACCGTAAAACACGGGGAGCTCACGCTGCCTGAAGCTTCAGGAAGGGCGCAAAGGTGGGTGAGTTCCCCGTGTGTTACGGTGGACTCTCGCCCTTGGGACGCGGTCGCAGTCTGACGGCACGGCTCCCGAGGGCGCGAGTCCACCGTAAAACACTTGGAACTCACGCTGCCTGAGGCTTCAGGAAGGGTGCAAAGGTGGGTGAGTTTCCAGTGTTTTATTGTGGACTCGCGCCCTCGGGAGGCGGCCGCAATCTGACGGCGCGGCTCCCGAGGGCGCGAGTCAACCGAAAAACACGGGGAACTCACGCTGGCTGAGGCTTCAGGAAGAGTGCAAAGGTGGGTGAGCCCCCCGCGTTTTACGATGGAACCGCGCCCTCGGGACGCGGCCGCAGTCTGACGGCACGGCTCCCGAGGGCGCGAGCCCACCGTAAAACACAATGAACTCGCGTTGCCTGAGGCTTCAGGAAGGGTGCAACGGTGGGGGAATCCTGTGTTTTACGGTGGACTCGCGCCCTCGGGAGGCGGCCGCAATCTGACGGCACGGCTCCCGAGGGCGCGAGTCCACCGTAAAACACTGGGAACTCACGCTGCCTGAGGCTGCCTGATGGCCTCTCCGCATCCAGGACCTCCAAGAGGGCGAGGCCCTCGGGTGTCCTCTGGGCTTCAAATGGAGAGGGAGGACGTGTGTGGTGTACGTGTGTGTGTGTGTGTGTGTGGGTGTGTGTGTGTGTGTGCGTGTGCGTGTGTGCGTGTGCTGTGTGTGTGCGTGTGCGTGTGCGTGTGCGTGTGCGTGTGCGTGTGCGTGTGCGTGTGCGTGTGCTGTGTGCGTGTGTGTGTGTGTGTGTGTGTGTGTGCGTGCGTGTGTGTGTGTGTGTGTGTGTGTGTGTGTGTGTGTGTGCGTGCGCGTGCGTGTGTGTGTGTGTGTGTGTGTGTGTGCGTGCGTGCGTGCGTGCGTGCGTGCGTGCGTGCGTGCGGTGTTGTGTGTGCGCGTGTGTGTGCGTGTGTGCGTGCGTGTGCGCGCGCGCGTGTGCGCGCGCGTGCGTGTGTGTGTGGGGGGGGGGGGGGGGGGGCAAGGTGGAAGAGAGGAAAGATGAGGTATGTAAATGCGCATCCGTCCTTCGCGAAGAGCGAGGACGCTTGCGTCCGACGCAGAAGTCAGAAGCAAATGTCCGTGCTCTTCCCCAGGGGCCGCCGCGAGGAGGCGGGCGGAGATGGCCCCCTGGGCCCCCGCGCCGCTTTGGCCGCCCCGTCGCGCCTGACATATGCGAGGCTCCATCGCCTCGCAGAGCCGGCGCGGCGGAGCGGCCGATGCCGCGCGGGGGCCCCCTCCCGTCGACGAACCAAATGGCGTTCTTCTCGGGGGGTGGGAAGTTCGTCGACAGGAGGTCGTTACTTGTGGTGTTTCTAATCGGACCTCTATCTTTTCATCATCGCGTTTTCGAGCTGGGCCCAGCCGAATACCGAAGGAAAGAACGACCCCACAGCATCGGAACACGCATCACTATTATGACACTGGCGAGCAGCAGTCTCAGTTACGATATCCCTTACACCTCGGCCACGGACAAACCTGGGATTTAGCACATGTAGAGAACACGCACAACAAACGTGTTCTGGACACGTGGCAGCACACTCGCCGCTAACAAATGCATGCTATTTTCCAGAGCTGCACCCAACTGGCGCGCGAGGAACCGCGCGTGCTCAGGAGAATCTCGCCTTTCTGCGCAGCTCGAGCTGCGCCCAGCCACGGCGACATATATCGGATGTTCGGCCGCAAAGGGCGCTGGGCACAGAAGCACAATTACCGTGAGCACCGTTTGTTGGTGATCATCGCAAGCTGCGCGCGAAGCGTCTGAACCTACATCCGACATCGCATTCGCCGCGCCTTGCTCCACCCTCCCCTCTTCCACCAGCCCCGAACCCCTGAGATGCTGAGCGGGCTTGCTTTTTGGGCCAGCGGACAAACTCACGCAGCAGAAAGTCGCCCGACGTCGGGACAGAGATCCGTGCAAGAGGCCATCGCCGCACGAGAGCCACAGCACTCAGTCGGTGCTCCCCTCGGCAAGTTGCAGGAACTGGCGGTAGAAGTTCTTCGCCTGATCCTCGACGATATCCTCAGGGCGACGGGGTCCATGCACAGCTGCTGAACCTTGCAAAGCCTATCCCGCGCGCGGGGGCGGCGCGCGATCTCTCGCTTTCGACAGGGCGGCACGCGCGCAGCCTCTGGGCTCGGGATCGGCTTAGCCAGGGGCAGTGGGCACATACAGACCCCATCGCCCGATTCCTCCCTGAAGACATTAACCTCTTCCGACTTGCCCTTGGACATGGTCATCAATTGCACGGGTTTCTCGGGATGCATGGTAGTGTCGTAGCCATATATCGTTCGGCACTCGCTGACAAGGCATATCATCTCACAGTCGAGGAGGGAGCCGTACTTGCCATTGCGCTGGCCCGCTGTATACTTCCAAAGCACCTCCTGGTCCTCCCTGCACACCGTCAACGGCTTCTGCTCGCCTGCGCTCGCAGGCGCGCCCTCGGAGACATCGGCGGCCCTCTGTCTCTTTCGGGCGTCGTCCTCGGGCTCGCCCCGCCCGCGCTTGTTCGCGCCGATGGGAGGTATCCCGTCCGCCTCGTCGAGTAATTGTTCGAGTTTGCGCTCGGCCTCTCTCAAGGATGGGGGCCGCTGCGCCCCTGGGCAGCGCGGGGGCGCTGGCGCGGTGAAGCGCTCGATGTAGCGCGGGGCATCGTCATCGCCACTGTCAGAAGGTACAACATGTTCCTCTGCCGCGGCCCCTGGGCCAGCGCTGCCGCGCGCTTTCGCCAGGGGGCCCTCTGCGATGGCGTCTGGCATGGCGCCGCCCAGGAGCGCTCCGCACCGACCTGTTTCTGCGAGCCTGAGAGGCGATGCTGCGCAGGAGCTGCTGCCAGTCGCCCAGGGGGGGTTTGGGCTGGCGGTGCCGTCGTCGGCGTCCTGGCGCGTGAACCCGCGCGCGCCAGCGCTGTCGCCAACTGCCGCCCGCGGCCCGGGTTCAGTCTCGCGGATGCGACGGTGCTCCGCGGTGGAGGCGTCTTCCTCCGAAACTGATGCAAGGACGCCCTCTGCCCGTTCAGCCGCTGGCGGGGTGGCGGCGTCGTGCCGCGCGCCTTCTGCGCCGCCGCTGGCGCGCGCGGCGTTGCAAGGTGCATCGCGGGCGCGCGCTGCGCCGCGGGCGCGCTGCCTGCTGGGCGGGGCGTCGCGGGCGCCGCTGCCGCCGCTGGCGCGCGCTGCGCTGCGGCAGGCTTCGCGGGCGCTTGGTGCGCCGCAGTGGCTGCGCCTGCTGGGCGGGAGGTCGCGGGCGCTGCTGCCGCCGCTGGCATGCGCCGCGCTGCAGCAGGGCTCGCGAGCGCGCGCTGCGCCGCTGTGGCGTTGCTTGCTGATGCGCGGGCGGGCGCGGACGCAGCGCGCCGCCCCCTGCCCGCGTCGCGCCCATCTGCGGCATCGTCCTCGTCGTCGATCTCGGACATGGACTCGCCGTCGCTGTCGTCGCCATCCTCACACTCGCCAGCCACCTTGGAAACGAGGAGCCCCCCTCTGCAATTTTGACAGCTGCGTGACCCGCGCGACCTCGCGCGCCACGTCAACAACACCGCCAGGCAACAACAACGACAACGGCGCCAACGACGACGCCGCCACCGCACACAAACACAACATCGCCACGCCCATGGCATCAGCAACATCTCACAACCCGACCTTCCGCAACATGTAAAATCAGATGCGGGTCGCGCTCGCTACCTCATGGCTTGCTGGGGCCACGGGGTCGGCAGCGCGCCGCTCAGCGGAGGGGCGCCCGCGCGCCTGGAAGGCGCGACCGCACTTGTTCTGCAGGCGATCAATCGCCTCATCGACGGTCTCATCGTTGAGCAGCTGGTCGTCAGATGGCCATTCCACGGGGTCACCAAATAACGCTTTAGTGATGCACTTGCCGTTGAACGCCTGCACCTTCGGGCCCGCGAGGGCGTAATTGCCTTCGGCAGCCCCCATTCCGTGCGCAAGAAAGTCCGCGACCACCCTCTGGCACTTCTCCTGATTCTCGTCCTTACGGACAGCCGATGTGACCCATTTGCGCTGCAGGCTGGTGCGGGGAAACGTGCGACGGGGGCAGTAGATCCCCCCGTCTGTTCCCAGCAGCTGGTACATGCCCGCGCCCTTCATGTGAGCTAGGGCGGGGCGGATAAATCGCTTGGTCTCTGGGTCGCAGTTCGAGCCATCGAGCGGCGGGAGCAGAGCGGCAAGTAGCAGTCCGTCGCCTCTCACATGGCTGGCGTGAAGTACCTCCCGAGCTTGCCCCTGGTCTTTGCTGTATTGTGTCGATTGACTATGACATAATCATAGCCAACTGCCTTGGACTCCAGGACCTTATTCTCGCACGAGCCATTCAGCTCGCCAGACCCCCCGAACGTCCCAGGGATGACCATCTGCCACGCCATGGCGACAGACGCCACGCGCTGCCAGAAAAAAAAAGTCATGGACTCCTTGCCCTCGCGGATGCGCCTCACCGCGCGCAAGTCGATCGCAGACTCTGTCAGCGTGGCTCTCGCCTCATCCAGGGACATGTAATTCTCGAGGTGCGCCTCGTCGAGCTCTTTGCGCGCCTGCGTCGCTTCCTTGCGCCTTGCGGCGCAAGCCTTCAGGGCGGTCTCGACGGCGGTTGACTTCAGAAGGTTCAAAGCTCGGCTCGTCGGGCCCCACTCGTCCCGATCGCACTCGTGGAGCATGAAGCTGACGGCGTGCTTCAGGGCGTTCATCATCTTCCTCGTCCAGGAGAAAATCGGATTCATGATGTGCAGCCTGGTGAGCTGCTCGAGAATCTTCTGGTAGTGGAGCGCCTGAGCCACGCCGATGGGGGAATAGTTCGTCGCGTCGATGTCGAGGAGGAAGAACAAGTAGTCCATGCCCATGGCGTGGCCCTCTGTGAACGAATCATCCGAGACGTTTTCCGCGAGCATGTACTCGCGGAAGCCATCGATGGTGACGTGGCGGGTCTCTGCTCTCTACGGCCACGGAGTGCAATTTCGTTTCTTGCCCTCGAGCTCCAGGGAGCGCTTTGCAACCTGAACCCTGGGCACAGGGACAGATTCGCCGCCTCTCGCGACCTTCCGTATTTCCTGGAGTAGGACGTCCTGCTGCTGCGCGCTCTGCGGCGGCTGCTGGGGCGCTGCGGCAGAGTCTGCTGGGGCGCGCTTCTCCTCGAGCGCAAGCTGGCTGCGAAGGTCCTGCGCGTGCTTCATAATCATGGGAAAGTCATCAGGAATGTTGCCGCTCTCCAACATCTCAGACGCTCGTTTCTCGAGCGAGGACAGTAGCTTGTAAGACATCGCCTTCGGGTCTGCGCTCACGCCATGGTCGCGCGGAGGCGCTGCACCGCGGGGCTCGGGCGCCGCGGTTGGGCCGCCGCTGCTGGCAGCTTTCCCGCTCGAGCGGGCGATTCAAGCGATGCCGTGGCCGCTGCTGCCGCTGCTTCCGCGTGGCGCAGCAGAGCGAACCTCCGATTCGTCTTTGCAATCGTTACACGGATCGAAGGCGGCTGGTTTTCAAAATTGGGCTTCCGCACGTTCGATTGAAACTTTTGCAACAGTTGGATCGAGGGCGGGCCGTTGTCAAAATTGGGCCCCGCTGAGGCGCCGCGCGCATTCGTCGTAAAATGTTGCAACAGGGCCAATGGGGCGCCCGTCATTCAAGGGCGCGCGTCCAGGTTTGAAAGGGAACACTTGTATGGACTTATGAGGAGGGGACATGGGACGGGAGGGTGTATAGCAGCATCGCTGATGTATCCTGGGTTCTCTCTGGTCTTCCTTCCTCCTCCTCCTCCCCCTCCCCCTGGGGCTGCCGGCTGTATTTTGCAAGGGGTCATGGCCTCGGGAGCACGAATCTGTTGTATTTTGTGAGGGGGTATGGCCTCGGGAACGCGAATCTGTCGTATTTTGCGAGGGAGTGTTCCTTTGGGAACGCGAACCTGTACTATTTTCTACTAAGGATTCTGGCTTTGGGGGCGCGCATCTATTGTAAATTACAAAGGGAACGCGGCCTCGGCGGCAAAAACTTGGCCAGCGACGGGGGAAGAAAATCGAGGCCGACACGCGGCGCCCGAAACTTACAGATTTATCGAGCCCTTGGCGTCGAATTATTGTTTTTTTGGTCTCTTGTGCGCCCCCTCTGCGTTGAACCCAGAAAAGAATTCAGAAGCGTCTCTTTGCTTTGCGGATCCGTTGTATTTTACAATGGGTTGTGGCTTCGGGAGCGCGAACCTGTCGTATTTGAGAATGGGGTTGTGTTTTTCTCTTACGACGGATTGTGGGCTCGGGGGCGCCGATCTCGTGTGTTTTACGAGGGATCGTAGCTTCGGGGGACCTGCTGCATTTTACGAGGCAACGTGGCCCCAAATGTCAGAGTCTGTATGTTTTACAAGGGATTGCAGCCTCGGGAACGCCAACATATATATATATATATATATATATATATATATATATATATAATAATACACAAGTTGCACGTGCGTGCCCAGGCTCATACAAGAACGCTTAGGCTCCTCTCCTGCGAATTGTGTCTATGCGTTGTGTACGTGTTGCATGAGTTGTGTGAGTTGTGTGTGTGGGTGTGCGTTATCTGTGTGTGGTGTGTGTTGTGTATGTGTGTGGTGAGTGTGTGGTATGTGTGTGATATGTGTGATATGCGTGTAATTAGTGTTAGGTGTGTGTGTTGCGTTTCTTGTGAGCTTTGTGAGTGTTGTGTGTGTGATGTGTGTTCTGTGTTGTGCGTGTTTTCTGTGCGTTGTAGGTGTTGTGTGCGTGTGTGCGTGTGCGTGCGTGCGTGCGTGCGTGCGTGCGTGCGTGCGTGCGTGCGTGCGTGTGTGTGTGTGTGTGTGTGTGTGTGTTCTGTCTGTATAGCGTGTGATGTGTTGGGTGTGATTTGTGTCTCTGTGTGTGCATGTAGTTCTGAAGCCCCAGGAGGCCCCAGGCGGCCTCAGGAGGCCCCAGGAAACCCAGGAGGCTCCAGGAGGCCCCAAGAGGCTCCAGGAGGCCGCAGGAGGCCGCAGGAGGCCCCAGGAGGTTCCAGGAGGCCCCCAGGAGGCTCCGAGGCGGGGTCTGGGGTACCAGAAGATCGTCGGGGCTCGATGTTGGGAGGATGTCTCAGGCGAAACCGCCATTCTCTGAGAATCGGGGTCAAAATCATTGAAATTACCATGTGTTTTTAAAGGTTTCATGTTAAAATGTTGAAATTCCCATGTGTTGTTGGACCCTGACGTCACGATCTGTGTGAGGGGTGCCACCGATTTTCCGAATTTCGAGGATGTCCCTAGCGAAACGGCCCGAAAAATCGCGAACGCGGCGCGGCGCGTTCAATTAATCGCCTCTGAGCTCTACTCCCTCGGAGAGGCGCGTATGAGAATATGGGCGCGTATATGGGCGCGGGAATAAATGTTCCTTTCGGCGGCGTTCGCAAGGGCGACAAGGGGGGAACACGAGGGTCCTGGCCCCCCCCCCCCTGGGGCCCAGAACCCGGCCGACGTCGAGGCGTTCCCCCAGACGGGCGGCCACGACATCCCAGAGATGGCGGAAGACTGTCGACATTTCGGCCCGCGCCCACATATTTTTATGTTACGAAAGATTGATTCTTCGGGAGCGCCAGTATGTTGCATTTTCCAAAGGGGGTGTGGCGTCGGGGGCGCGCATCTTGGTAATTTACGAGGGGCTGCCGCCTCGGGGGCAGAAGCGCGGACAGCGACGGGGGAAGAAAATCGAGGCTGGTGCGCGGCGCCCGAAAATTATCGATTTATTATGTCCCCGACGTCGAACTATTGACTTGGTCCGTCTCTTGCGCCCCCCCCGCTTTTGAAGCTCATAGGCAGCCCAGAAACATCGCCTTTGCTATATCCGCCACCGTGCCTTCAGCACGTAGTGGAGTGCCCCAAGGCTCACGCAGCCCTGAAAGGCCTTTGTTGGGTTTCTTAAAGGCCCAGATCCCCATTTCCCGGGCGCTGCCGGGCGCTATTGGCCGCCGCCGAGGGTTCTCGCGTGAGCTCCGGGACGGTTCCCTCGCCCAGCAGGGCCCCAAAACGAGCCAACAAAGCCCCAGGAGGCCGCCACACGGTCGAAAGAGAGTCCAGACTCGCCGAAAGGACGCCCGAGAGCGCCTCCGGACGGCCCCAGAGGTCTCCAAGACGCCCGAAGGCCTCCGAGAGGCCTCCCATGAGAGCCCCAAGAAGCACCACTCGTAGCTTTTCCATAAGTTTTTGAAGGTTTCTGGGGTTCTCGCATTCTCAGCTTCCCGACGCTCCAAGACGGCCCAAGAGGTCCCCAAAACTGCCTAAAGACAGCCCAAGAGGGCCCCAGGACGGCCCGAGAGACCTCCAAGACGGCCCAGGATGCCCCCAAGACGGATCCAAGAGGGGGCCCAGACGGGGGACCCGAGCGGACATCCTCGCTCCCAGGAAGCCCCAAGAAGCCCCCAAGAGGCCCCCAAGAGGCTCCAAGAGGCCCCCAAGAGGCCCAAAAGAGGCCCAAAAGAAGCCATATGAGGCCCCAAAACGGTCCCCAAGACGCATCAAAAATGCTTCCAAGAGGCCCCCGAGAAACCTACCACGAGATCCCAACGAACACTCAAGAGCCCTCTGACCCACAACCCAGGCACGGTGGCGGGATGGGCCGAAGGCCATTAGATCCGCCGCCCCCTGCTTGCAGGGGTGCCTGGCGTGTTAGATTTTATCGGTTTTGGTTTTGGTTCTTTTTCTAAAAGAACTCCCCAGTGGGCTTCGGCCCGTCCCGCCGGCCACCCGGAAAGGATGCCCAGGAGCTCAATTCCCCAATTTCCTGCCCCAGACGGTTCCAAGATGGCCTCCAAGATGCCTCTAAGACGGCCAGGATGGTCTCTAAGACGGCTAAGATGGCCTTATGATGCCTCCAAGACGGTCCAAGACGGCCTCCAAAACGGCCCAAGAGAGTCCAAGACGGCCCAAGACGGCCCAAGAGGCCCCCCAGAGGCCTCCCAGACGGCCCAAGAGGCCTCCAAGAGGTCCTCCAGGAGAGTCCGAAGAGGCCAAAATCATTGATTTTCCTTTGGTTTTTGAAGGATTTTGGCATTTGCGCCTTTTCGGCTCTCCGACGGCTCAAGACGGCCCAAGAAGCCCCCAAGATCGCCCAAGAGGCCCCCAAGAGAGCCCCATGATGGCCCAAGTGGCCTCCAAGATGGCCCCTAGAGGGCCCCAAGAGGGCCCAAGAGGCCTCCAACACGCCCAAGATGGCCTCCAAGACGCCCAAGATGGCCTCCAAGACGGCCCTGGAGCATTCCAAGCGGGCCCCAAGTCGGCCCATAGAGGCCCCCCAAACGGCTTCCGACGGCTTCAGACGTGCCAGGAACCCACCAAGATGGCCGAAGTTGGCTCGAAGCTGGCCCGAGACGGCCCAAAAAGCCCCAAAGATCGCCCAAAGCTTGCCCAAGAGGCCTCCAAGACGGCCAAGATGACCTTCAAGATGCCCACGTGTTCCCCGAAGGCTTTCCAAACCGATTCGGGGAACACGTGGTCCGATAGCTTGGCAGGTCTGGCCTCAACGTTCGGCCACATAGGCGCTTCCAAAAAGGCAGGGGGCGGCGGTGATTCGCCGTAGGCGTCTTCGATCCGCCGCCCCCTGCTTGCAGGGGTGCACGGCGTGCTGGATGATTCAGTTTTGGTTTTGGTTCGTTTTCTAAAAGAACTCCCCAGTGGGCTTCGGCCCGTCCCGCCGGCCACCCGCGCGTTTCCCAAAATGCGTCTGTCAATACCCAAAAACGGCCGTTTCGCTCGGGACATCCTCAAATTATCCCGGCAAAGCAACCTAACAGCGATGTGTAGAAGCATATCTGGAAGCATTCCCTTTAAGATCCAGATGAACATCCAGATGAGATGATGCCTGCTCTTTTTTCAGAGGACCGCGCTGAGGAGCGGCGTGCGAAGCGGAGAAGCTGCAAAGCGTGTAGGCTGAAAAGCATTGCAGACACGCGCAGGCTGAAAAGCATTCCGCGACACGTGCAGGTTCACCGCGCACAGCTGCACACGAGCGCAGGCTGAGAAGCACCACGCGCATGTAGGCTGAGAAGCACCACGCGAATGCAGACGGACAGACTGAACAGCACCGCCACAACGCAACCTGCATCTCATGACTCCTCAAGCTCGCGCAGGCCATCCCAGTTGCTGTCGGGCCTTCGCGCAAGCGATCTTCGTCGCGGCAATCTTGTCCGTGAAGAGCTCGGCAAAGGCCTTGGCGATCTGCTCCGGGGGGCCGGATTCGATGATGCTCCGGTCAGGCAAGCCGTGGCTCAAGAGTTGGTTGAAGCTTCTGGG